GCTTTGTATTGAGAGGTATTTTCTAGCAGAAAAAAATATTTTTCAGCAAAATAAAGGTTTTTGAAATGGGAATTTCATGCAGTTTCCTAAAATGGCTCTGCTCGGCCATTAATGTAATTTATATTTAGCACAAGACCACAAACAGACAGATTACTAGACTGGACCGTTTCAGGGAAGAGCAAACCACTCTTCCTCTTTACTCATGGTGTTGTTAAAACAAAGAGCATGGCAGTAACATGGGAAATGAATGCAAAATAGAAAAACACAACATTTAAAAAATGATTGTTGAATAAACTGCAGTGGAAAACTGAGAAGAGATCCAGCCCACCCCTAGGTAAAGCCATTAGTAGAACATCTTTAGCTAAGCTCAGGAGTACCATAGGTAAGACAAACTGTGCACTCAAATAGATCACTTCAGTTTTGAAGATATAATTTGCCTATACAAAATAAACCTCCATAAAAAAACCAAAACAAAAACCAAACAACAACCTATCTGCACACAGCAACACACAAGGTAGCCCCTTATCTTCATCTATCTTCCAATACCTGAAGGGGGCCTACAAGAAAGCTGGGGAAGGACTTTTTCTAAGGGCAGTTAATGACAGAACAAGAGGAAATGGGTTTAAACTGGAAGAGGGGAGGTTCAGATTAGATATTAGGAAGAAGTTCTTCACTGTGAGGGTGGTGAGACACTGGCACAGGTTGGCCAGAGAACCTGTGTCTGCTCCTCCCTGGAAGTGTTCAAGGCCAGGCTGGATGAGGCTTTGAGCAACGTGGTCTAGTAGAAGGTGTCCCTGCTGATGGCAGAGGGGTTGGGACTGGATGAGCTTTGAGGTCCCTTCCAACCCAAATCAGTCTGTAATTCTATGATTCATCTCCTTGAAAATCCTCCTCTTTGTCCCCTCTGCTCCACTGAAGCGCTGGCAGGAGGCACCTGCTTGCTGCTTTTCTGGATTGAACACAGGCCATTCCTTTCAATATATTCTAATTTCACCAACTAGGGGCTGTTTCAATCTCTCAAAGTCATTCTGGGCAGTGAAATGCATTTTGCATCATGCTGCTATGGCCAAAACACTGAATAAAAAGCAACAAAGTTTTCACTGGAAGATTCAAGCACATCTAGACAGCAACCTCACAGTAATTTCTGCAGAACACCAAAAAGTGCAAGTTTGCCAAGTAGCTCAGTGCTCCTAAACTTACAAAGCTCCATGCAATCATTTATTTTTACAGTAGTCTTTAACTGGGGATAAGGTCTTTCTTCACCTGTATCATTAGACATTTACTGTCTCAGCATTCCAATGTTTTTGTAAAAGTGAAAGCCATTGGAATACATTATTAATTTTGAAGGCATTAATTAAAAACACTCACCGACTTCAAAAGCATCTTTGAAACAAAAGAACCCTGAGCAGTGCGGCAGGATTTGCGGTATCTGATGTGACCAAGCTACATAAATTGACAGAAAAACCCCAAAGTATCTCATATTCAAAACTGAAACTATGTTAAAAATACACAGTTCGACTCAGAGGCACTTAAAAAACTTTGGTGAAAAATCCTAAATCCACTCACACCCTATTTACATTACAGGAATGCTGTAATTGCACAAAAATGTGATCACTTCTGGAAATTCAAGCACAACCGACCAACCACTACTGATTCTGCCCTCAGATGCAAAGAATATGTTCATTAAAATAAAGATGTGTTGTGCTAATGAAGCCATCAATTGAAGGGGTACTATGTGATGAAGGGAAGGCAAAAAATCTGACAGCACTCTGATGGTTGTTTTTGGTTTGTTTTGTTTTTAATTGGACAGGGGGGGGGGTTTAGCATACTTAAAATGAAAATTAGCATAGCAATTATTCCTTCAAAGTATCACCATTCTAATATGCAGCTACCACCTACATGCCATTTTAACTGTTTTCAACTTTTGCTGATCACTTCTAAGCAAGGATATATACACCACTTTGTTTTAAAAGTCTACAGAGAGACTTAGAATAGAGAATCTTTTCTACACAGAAAGCTGTATAAATAAAGAACTGAATCTGATTATTTTCATATGCTGCCAGGCTTTGGATGGATAAATGTTTCCAAAGAGCTGGCGCCTCTGTTTTGGGTAGGAGTGGGTAGAATATTGCAGGATTCCCCTTCCCTCCCCCACTGAAGCAGAATCTGGTCTCTATTAAAGACATTTCAGCTCTAATTCTACTGTCTGAAATATCCTGATTTTATACAGCGTTGCAATTCCTAAAGCAATCTTCAACACTGATTAAATCCTGTTCCAGGTCTGGCAATTCTGAGTTTTACTCTCCATGCCAAGCTTAGTAGGAAAGCAAAAAAATTAAGCTTTAGTAACGATTAAAGGTGTAGATATGATTAAAAAGATTATGCTGAAGGGATCTCTAGCTGTGTGTAGTCTAAGAGATGTAAAAATTCACACAGCAAACTTAGAACCCACCTTTTCTAGCTGCCCTATAGAAATCTTGAAGCAACCAAAGATGCTATTTGACCCACTGAAATGGCACAAAGAGCACACAATAGAGCTGGGACTGATGTTTTTATAGCTGTCAGCAATGCAGCTGTCAAAAGGGTACAACTGACAAACTGTATTTCCAAGCTGACAGAGCACATGAGCATTGGAAAATCCAATACAGGCCATAAATACAACAAACATGGGAATGCATATTTCTGCACTGCTTTCTATTGAGAATTCTATATGATGATCATGAGCACCTTATTTAAGTGCTTACTGATTAAAGTTCACTTGATTCTGCCTGAATGCAGCATTAGAATACAACTGAAGTGAATGTCAGGGAAACAATGAATGGTTTGGAAATGGGATTCCTCCTTAGGAACACACTAAGTCTATCTCCACTCTCTCCCCTGCCTCGCTCCAACAGACCCTGATTTTTATACAGTCCTAAGATCCAGAGTGCAAAAGCTCATCTGTGAAAATTCCAGATATGTGACCAGGACACTTTTCCCCAAACACACAAATGAAAACTGAAATGTAAAAACCAATTACAGAACTACAAGTAATTAAGGCAAAGATCTCTTGGTTATACATATTAAACATGTACAGTAAAATAAAAAAATACAGTATGCATAACAAAACGTATTGCAATTATTAAAAACCTGTATTTGACATCACATAAATTTGAAGTACCTTTGACAATATTTTTCATTCTGCTTAAACATATTTCAAATCAGTAATTTTTCCTTTTCTTCCTTTCTGTAGGTGACCTAGGCCAGTGCCTTAGAGCTGGGACAATGATTATTGCTGTTTTAAGAGAAAATGGGTACAGGCAGCTAATAAGGACATCATTTAATAACAACTGCCTGCTGTCTTATTAAAAGCTAGAGCCTTTTCAGAAGTTATTGAATCCAGCTCCTGCAGCTGGCCAGGGATGTTGCTTTTTGTGTCTCAGTGTCACAAGTTTTGATGTCTGTCACGAAGCCCCAGATGCTTGATATTACTTCAATCTCACTGTTAATTGAAAGAGTTCTTGCACATCCTAGCTGCAAATAAGTGTTTTCTACACTCAGAGAAAATAATAAGTCTCACAGAACTCCAGAAGTTATTTCAGAAAGCCTCATTTTTAGCCTTCAGCATTCAGTAAGCACACGGCTGCTTCTCTATAGTAAAAGGAGTGGGAAAGAAGGGCACAGTAAAGGAAAATAAATCAAGAAAAGCTTGAAGTAAATTGAGGTCAAGGACATAAGGCTGGGCTTAAAGCTCCTACTGTGTTGTTAAAATTAAGGCAGGCTGCCACAGATCTTCACAAACAGCTTTAAGTTAATTCTACCTTTCTTTTAAACTGAACTTACAAAGCAGGTTCCAGCTATGCTGTGACAGAATGATTCAGGTGGTCTAGCTGCTGCTCCAAGGACACACTAGTAGTCAGGCCTCCAAGGCAGGGACTTTACCTTTGCTACAGCTGGTATCTGACCTGGCAACATCAGAGTTTGCAAATAGATGCACACCAGCCGTCCCTTCAAAGTGAGAGGTATTATTCTCTGCATCTGCCTTTTCCCTCTCCATCTCATGGTCAGGGTCTTCCAATTGTATTTGCAAGGGAAGAAAGTCTGTCTAATCATCTCTTTTATCAGTAAGGATGCCAGAGGAAAAGTAGCTTAGCAATAACAATAATCAAATTTCCTAAAAACCTGAGAAGCAGCAGAATGCTTCTGACATATTTGATTATAGTAAAGTCAAGCTGCACTGATGAAGCAGGAAACAGTTGGTAAGGGAGAGAAATTCAAAGTGTTTCTGTTTTCTCCCTATTCTCTGCCTGACCTACAGCCTGCCTTAACTTGCCAACTCTCCTTGTGTATTACTCATCCTCTTACAGCTTTTGCCTTTCTGACATCTCCGAGCAGCTGGTTTCCATTCCCTTTTCTGGCTCCTCTTTTCTTGATCCCAGTAATCTCTGCTCTCATCAAGAAAGAAAAAGATTCAAGACTGTGGGGCCCTAAAGAAGCAAAGAATAAGATAGGGGGAACTACACCAGTGAAGTGAGAGAGTAGTAAGACTCCCTGCCACTAAGAAAAAGGTGAGAGGAAAATAAAACCAGCCTGTACAAGAAAGAAGACTGTAGCATCTGATTAAATTAACTGGTAACGTTTCCCACAACATAGGACAGCGAGTTACAAAATAATGTGCCCACAGCTGCAAAAGCCTTTCCTGTGTTCATGAGAAATGCATGGGGTAAAAGATCCCGCTCTCTGCCATTAAAGCATCCTTTGACAGAGAGATGGCAGCTCTGTGAACAAATGTATCCTTACAGCTTAATTACCCACAGAAAAGGCCACCTACAGAAAGGAAAAAAAGGATAAAAATCAGAGAATGCTTATCAAAACTTCAAAAACTTGAAGTTCATTTAATGAGAGTTAACAACAATGCGTTTTGCAGTCTTTATATGACAACACTGAACAACAAACGGAAAATACACAACATGGTAAAAACAGACAAATAAATGTAAACAATCTAAAGTTTTGGGAAAGTACTAACCAGTTACTGACAGCAGCTGTGAAACCCTCACCTCCATTTCCTCCCGATGAGACCTGTCTCTATCTTCGAATTCACGAGTTCTTCGCCGAGCTTCTTCAAAGGCTTGTTGTGCCAATGCATCCTCCTGCTACCAAACCAGACAACACAGAGTGACACAAAAGGCTACCCTCATTTCTACAAGATCACATTTCTTTTGAATATTAGGGATCACTTGGCAAAGACAAGTATGTCCTACAGGATCTGCCAGAACACAGATGAGCTCCAGCAAATGCCAATAGAGGTTAATGAAATAATACTCACCTTCACCACTGCAGTAGAGAACTAAAGCTGCAATGTAGCTACTACTAAAATATATTTTCAAAGGAGAATTGCTTTTCAAAGGAAGTTTAAAAAGCTGAGGTTTTTCTTTTTTTTTTTTTTAAAAAAAAGCAGCTAGGAATCCTCAGAAGTTATATGAAAGGGGCAATACATTTTATTCTCCTTAGAAAAGTAATTTTGAAGACAGTATTCACAACTATATCTAGAAAGAGTTCACTAGCATAACTACATAAATAATGGTTATTTAATTCTCTATCATTAAAAAAAAGTTTTATCTAAGTTACAAACCAAATAAATCCTTCATTTTATCAATAGCTGCTGAAGGTGCATGAGTGTGAACATTTGTGACCTTTATGTATCATTTAAATTATTTAAATTTATATGCATTAGAAAGTGCAAAGCAGAAGTTATTCCTCCACTAACTGGTAGATATTCACACATAATACAGAAGAAACCTGGAGGTTTTCAATAGCCCTGTTTATTTAATTTTCAACAGTGGCTTATGCACAGGAATAGATTTAATAAACTGATGCTCAAAAAAATCATTTGAATCAAATTTTCTGCTAGAAAAGGTTTTAAATAGTGTTATTAATATGTAAGCCATTATTAATTGGGTTACAATTTCTCTTAGAGAGACCCTTTAGCACATATTTTGCTCAGAATGAATATAGATGGTTCTGCTCCCCACCAGACTCTTAAAGTGTTCAGAATGGAGAAGTCTAAAGAGGTGCCACAAAACAGTACGGGATAAACTGTATTGCTTCTCCCACCTCCTAACTCCTCAGCTATAATTACTGCTAACTCTGCTTATGATTCCCACATACAACACAGATGTTATTTTCAAGTCCATAGATTAAAAAAAATAAAAATCCTAACCTTGACTGTTAGAGGACAAAAAAAGAAAAAGTTGAGAACCCAACTAAATTTTAATATACCAAGGGATTAAGCGCATAAATTTTTTAATTTAAGGTAAAGCATCTCTAGTCTGAGAGAATGTTAAATTGCTTTTTTTGCCAAGGGCACAATCGCACACCCTGGAGGTACTTTGTGAAGTGATGTGAATGAGTGTCTCTCGTGGCCTAACACACTTAAATACAAACGTCTGTCAATCCACAGCTTCCCGGAAAGCTGCGCTGAAAGGACATGTTCAAAGCTGCCAACAAGATAAACATTTTAACACTACCTGCTACTTTTAAAAGTAGAATTTGGTCCTTTATAGCTATCTTAGCATTCATGCAATGCACAGCAACCAAGGTCAGACAGTGGAAAGTAAGTTTGTTCTTAATAATGCAGAAGGATAGAGATAAAATAGATATGCTCGTCTCCCAGATGACTGCAGAAAAGCTGCCTTATTTGTAATTTTCAGAAGCTACACACATCCTTATTACTTTTTTTTTTAAAACAGACTTAAATTAAATCAGATTTTTTTTTTAATAAAAGATTTTTTGTATTTTTACTATCATTTAAAGTGGTCATGAAATAAAAGTGGTTATATGAAATAACATATAGCCTCAGCTAGAAAATTTTAAAGAAGTGGTCATAACCAAAAGAAACTAATTTAGAAACTAATTTAGAAATCTAGAAAAAGAGAAGAATCATTATGTTGACATCCAGAATGAACACATGTTGACAGCTGAAACATTGGTTTCAGCGGATCCTTTCCTGCGGAAGGATCATTATTATTTCTTTTTTACATGGACCAGTTAGAAAAAGTCCAGAAGAGGCCACCAGGATGATGCGAGGGCTGGAGCACCTCTCCTATGAGGACAGGCTGAAAGAGTTGGGGCTGTTCAGCCTGGAGAAGAGAAGGCTCCGGGGAGATCTTATAGCGGCCTTGCAGTACCTGAAGGGGACCTACAAGAAAGCTGGTGAAGGACTTTTCATAAGGGCAGTTAATGACAAAACAAGGGGAAATGGGTTTAAGCTGAAAGAGGGGAGGTTTAGATTAGATATTAGGAAGAAGTTCTTCACTGTGAGGGAGGTCAGACACTGGAACAGGTTGCCCAGAGAAGCTGTGGCTGCCCCTCCCTGGAAGGGTTTAAGGCCAGGCTGGATGAGGCTTTGAGCAACCTGGTCTAGTGGGAGGTGTCCCTGCTGATGGCAGAGGGGGTGGGACTAGATGATCTTTAAGGTCCCTTCCAATCCTAACCATTCTATGATTCTATAATGTCTCAGAAAGGGGGAAAAAAAAGCGCCTCAATATATTTTTAAGTAAAAAAAAAATTCTGCTCTACTCTTGGTGGTGTGTTATAACAGAAATTAAAAAGTGTCTCAGGATTTTCTTACAACAGGAGTTTAACAAACCTTTTTCCAAATGTCACCCAAATCTAGTAATTATAGCCTTGCAAATTTAGCTTTATAAAGCCCAATTGTTTATTCATCTTTGCTTTAATCAGTAAAAATTCATCCTGGTATGAATCTACTCAGAAAAAGAAGAATAAGCAAAATATGAGCCATATCAACATGAGAACAGAACAAAACAAATCCCTCAACCCAGAAAAAATGAGAGCAGCTCACACACCCCCATACACATACACCCCCACACTGACCAGAAGTCTGGTAGGAAAAGACTTTGTGAGAACAATCATTTCTAATTACCAAATCTACATAGCAAGAATGTGCTACTACAGGAGAGGTACAAAAGTAGTGAGGACAGAAACAGTCTATTAGTGACACTCAAGATAAATATCAAATCCAGGGAAATTTCAGCCCCAAATGGGGAAGATACTCAAGCACCTATTTAGAGCTTTGTGTGTCTCAGTCCACTGAAATCTGAACAAGCAACTGAATGAGGCTCTCCCAGTAACAAAAAGCAAAGTTAGTAGTAAGACATCAACATGCTATGAATAAATAGCAAGAACACTAGTTTCAAAGTTAGAATTAAAAGCACTTTATTGTTATGCATGTGGTTATTCTTCCTAAAATATTTTTTGACCTGATGAAGGATAATTTAATTTCCAAAGCGCAGCAGCAAAGAAAAATTTTACCTGATCCAAGTATTAGTAAAAAGTGGTAAGAGATAGGAAAATGCAAAAGTATTACATTTGTATGAGGCAAGCCTTCCAGAAAACGGGAGTAAGGGGTGTGTAGAGGGGGGTGGGTGCATGCCAACACAACCTCTGATTAAAAAAAGACAGTGGGTACCACAGGCTTAGTACGAGGCACTGAAACCTGCCCTGATATCAGCATTATTTTGGGACCAAAGTCAGCAGTTAGGTCAATTACCACTAGCAACATTAAAAGAGTTTTTTTAAAAAAGGAAGCAAGAGGATAGACACAGGAAAAAGGAAATTGAAGGATGTAAAAGATTGCCCAAACAATACTAACACATACATAAAAACCACTACACAACATCCAGGGTGCAGCTACTTCTCAGTGTTTGTATAGTGCCTTATGACACCAGTAACTCTTGGGTACTACTACCAGAGCAAATAATAACTGAGAAACATGAACTGAAAACAAATTACACACCTGTAACTGAGTGCAAACATATCTCTCTAGATCCCCACTGTGTAATACTTCCAGCTCAGCACCCTATACTCAAAATTCAAGACAGCACTGACGCCTGAGAGCATGCATACATTCCCTCACCAAAAAAACCCCAGTAAGAATAAATCACATGCCCAGTGCACAAACACTTTCTGGAGACAACAGAAAGGAATTTTTAAGTTTAGTTAAGATAGCGTATACACATCAGGAAAATAAAATAATCTGAGGGCATGCAAGAATATTTATTGGGAAATTAAAAAGATAAAAATTGAACCTACAGTTCACCTGACCACTGCCCAATTTTGGAAAAGAGTGACACTATCTCATTGTGAGCACACATTCCAATCTGTCTCCTCTCAGTTCAGAGGCCACGTGACTTTGTTTTACCTATCATTCAATTATGAATCTTGGGATTTATCTTGCACAATCCTCAGGGGTCTACATTTGACCTTGCTTTGTAAGCCATTACAGTCTAAAGGGTTTCTAATCAATGGAGTCTACAGCAGTTTCTCTCTTTCCAAAGAAAACACTGCTGTTGCAACATGAACTCAACTAGCTCAGATGCCCTGCTTTGGAAGAAGTGAATGCCACAGCAAATAGTAGCATTCAAGTAAAAGCTTGGTTCTGTGGATTAACAAACAGTGGCAGGACTATTTCAAAGACACTGTTTGGACACAAAGTGTTTCTATTTAACCCAGAACACAGTCACAGTAACACAATCTCATGAACATGCAAATTAAGTTTCTTAAATTAGGGAGAGGCAGGGCACCACAAAGCTTGCAACTGTACATATCGCCATATAAAATTTCAGCTGAACATTTCCAGCTCTTGAACAGAAAGAGGTTAATCAATATGCCCTCCAGTTCTGCATGCCTGGAACAGAGGGTGCTCTTGGTATTTAGGTGCTATCAAAGGGTTCCTGTTTGTTAACCAGCTGTGGCGGCAGAAAACTAAAAGGGAAACCCCAAGAAAGTGAGGGCTGAGAACGAGGCACACAGTGGAAACAGAAAAAGCACCCTTATTTAAATCAGTTCCAGTGCACAACCCCTCAGAGGGCACAAAGGGAAAGTAAAGGGAATTCAGAAAAACAATCAGTTTGTGTGAATATTAATTTTTTGCAAAAATGACCCATATGTATGACATACACGAGGTGAAACAAAGACAAAGGGAATCACCAGTGTCACACAAACCAGTTCAATTATTCACCATAAGTGAGTTGCTTTGGGTTCCCAAGTTTAAGGGAACAAAATGAAGGAGATACAGAAAGCTCCATTTTTATTATGCTATCAAGATGAAAAAGACAGTTACCAATTAGGAGACATTGAACAGTGGTTCAAAGTGAATTACTCAAGTTTCCAGAAAAGTTAGGAGAACTCATGATGGTCTTGGGTGAAAGAAGAAGTCTTCAGAGAGAAGTTGGAAGAAAATGGCTATATACAGGTACAGAGTAAATTATTAAGAATTATTTGCTGGGGTACCAATACAGAACTCAGGGAGGGAAGAGAAAAAAAAAGCTGCAAGAAATTGCTCAGCCTTGTTTTTTTCTCTGCATGCTTAAACTCTTGGCTTCAGTAGCACTTTGGACCATTCCTTCATATAATTCTAACATTTCTAAATTATCAAACTACAGAAATGAACAGCTGAGTTCACTGTAAAATATAGATTCTAAGTCACAACTCTGGTAACTGATGTTTACTACATTCTACTTACTGTCCACTGCAGACACAGGTGATCTATATGGAAGCCCACATAAACCTCGTGGAGCAGCTTTTAATATCAGTTTAAGTAGCTTTGTTACCAAGCTGCATCTCAAAAGCAAAGATGTCTCAAGTCTGACTAAATTAAGGAACCCTACAGCTGTGTAAGTGAACCTTACATATGTAATAGGCACTTAAAAAGTCATTTCCTCTGTTTACTTTGTTCTTGTGCGTGTCCAAAGATTCAGCTGCTAGACAGTCACTTTGGTGGTAGGAAGTAGGTAGATAGAAGTTCTCAAAAGCTGCCATACTTTATCAGAGCAGTCTACTGCTGTTAGAAAACAAATGAAAAAAACCTATTCATGCTCCCTTTCCAGTATGTAATAAAACAAAAAGCTGCTTTAAAAAAACCCAACCACTCTAAAGTAAAGAGATAGAACAGACTTGCTAGTTAAAATTGTTTCAAAGTTAGACACAGCTTTCCAAATACTTGTAAGATTTACTACTTTGTAGCACAGGAACAGTGCTAAATCATTCAAGGTTGTGAACTACAGCAGACTCCTGTCCCTAATATTTTGCTAATTAAAACACTAGCTTAGCTACAACCACATTTCTGAACTACTATACTGTAAGTTTTCTTCAGAATTTGAACTCAAAGTGAAGGCAGAAAACAAGCAAATTAGAATGTGTGATTGATCCCTGACTGCCTGTTTGCTTCCAGAAGAACAAATGTTTAAGGCATGGGAAGACTGTCTTACCTGTGCTCTCTCTTCATCAAATTCCAGGCAGCCCATACCATCCAGTCTCTGTAGATCTATCCAGCCTTTCCAGATTACACAGACACCATTGAGAATCATAGGTGCCTTCAAGTACACCTGAAATAAAAGCAAAATACATGCTAGGAATTTGAAAACAGTTACATACATGTCTGCACGATGAAAATACTGATGCAGGAAGCTTCTATATGTGTTCTTAGAAGAACATCCAAACCAGCTGGTAACACAAGATTCCACTTAACAGCTTCTCCTGCCTCCTTTTCAAGAACTCATTTTAATCAAGTGAGTGCTGTAACTTTTGCCTACTGTACTGGATGGAATAAATTTAAACTGTGTTCTCATTTTATGAACTGGCAAGCACCAGAATTTGGTTAGAATCCTGTTACTGCTTTCAGTTAAAGGAACTGTTTTTCTTGTCAGCTTACCTTTGTGTCACAAAGAAAGCGGCGTCCTGCCAGACAAGGAAGATCCTTTATAGCACATTTAAATGGTTAAACACATGCTTTCCTATTCCCCAAAAGCACTGTATTTTACCCCAAATACAGGGTCTCTTTCAACAAAGAAAAAGCACCAGTTTCAGTCCTCCACAAATTTACAAACTAGTCAAGAGTTTAGTACAATACTCTATATATACACACACCACGCTAAAAATAAGGAAGTCTTCCTGTCTCTATTTTGTCATTTGTGAAAGGCTTTTCAAAAGAAGCAACACCAGATGATCAAAACCCACCTAGAGCCCCAAGGTGCACAACATGTGCCTTGAGCTGCAGCAAGGAATAATGCATGAGCTTAAGGCCCTACATCTAGATAACGGTAGATGAAACAGTGATTTAAGCAGAAGTATTTCCCCTTCTCAAGGCCAGAGATTAATCTCCACACAGGAAATTTAAAAAGAAGCAAATACAACACTAAATGAGTTTGACACCCAATATTTAATGACATCAGCCTTAAAAAAAAAACCCAAACCAAGCCAGCAAAATTACCTAAATTGTGAAGAAAAATCAACCTTCAGTAGTTATTTCAGTCTCCTTGGCAAGTCAAAACCCTCATGGAACAGAAGTTTGTCTATGTTGAATTGCCAGAGAGGCAAACCATGCACACATGCCTGCACCCACTTCAGATTTAGACATTCAAAATCCTGTCGAGTCTTTTTGGTCTTCAGGGGTGGCCCAGCTAAGCAGGGGAATTTTCAAACAGTGCCTCCTTTAATAGCTTTAAATTAATCCTCTGGCAAATCCCCCTCAGAAGTATAACTGATACTTCGCACTACAACGTATTTCAAAGCACCCTGACTGTGCCTACCTGCTCTGTTCCACACTTATCAGCTAAGGTCACTCAAGCAGAAAAAGGAAAGGCAAAGAAAGAGATGCAGGAGGTACAGAAGGAAGGTAAATCTTCCCGATGCAAAGGCTGTCCTGGTAAAATGAAGCACTGAACAACATGGATAATGTAATAATCCCTGAGTGGAAGAGAGGGAATAAATAACATTAAGTGTTTGTCAGTTGGTTTCATGTTATTTGCCAATTAAAAGACACGTTTGATCTCTGAGCTTGATTTTTACAGCTTATCACACTTCAGTATGAAGCAACATACTCTAGGAGTTTTAATTAGTACAATATGCTGCTGCTCAACAATAAAGAAACAAAGGTTAGTTCAAGCATATCTTCTTGGTACCAGCTCTACTGCTGCAGGGTCTCCACTATGAGAGCACAGACTGGTTGTCCATCCTTGTATTCACAGACTAGCTATGCAAGTCATCTCACCCATGTCTTCTGTGATGACAGCGCGCTGTGCAGGGTACAGATCTACCGGTCAACAGCTCTTGTGAGCAGAGGTGTCAGAACCAGCATGAGTAAGAGGTGGACTACCAGGAGACCACCTCCCACAGCCTTCATTTCAAGATTAATAATTTCAAACACACAAAATACAACATTACTCCCTTTCAGCAGTCTTCACTCATTCATCTTGCAAGAAATAAACAAAGTGCACACCATCAATTTAAGAGATGTGTTTAATTAGTTTAGAAGTGAAAGACAGTTAAAGAGGCTATTAGTATCAAAAATCATCCTCTTCTAAAAAGAATGCAGAATAATTTAAAAGAAAAAAAAAAACAGTGTAACATAACTATGGGTCTGTAAAGGCAAAACAGTCTGTAGTCTAATGCTAGTTAGTTTTTGCAAAAGCAAACAAGCATTTTGCTGATCTTCACGTAGGGTTTACCTTTCATCTAGCCTCCTCTATCCTTCTGGCCAAGAACAAAAGCCTGGGACATCAAAAGTTACACAGGACTTCCTACAGATGACAAAAATCTAGCTTTTCAAGTTGCCCAGCAGCTCAGTGCAAAGAGCAGGTAGCTCAGGTGCGGCCACTGAGGACTCAGTACTTTGAATGCAATGCCTTAGGCATCACCTAGAAGCCTGAGCAGTGCTGGAAATTCTGTGAAAGTCTTCAGAAGTCAAAGGGGAAAAGGGAAATGAGTTGACAGAGCCGATGTGATTACTGGTGCCTGCTATCTGCCCTGAGCACGCTGACCAACAGCTGAGCCACTGACAAAGCGGCTTGTGAAGCCCTGGCAGGCAGCCTGACCTTTCCAGATAAAGCACTCTGCCCTTGCATCTCAATCAGAGCCCTTACAGCCTTACACCACTGGATTCAGTAAGTCTTCACAATGCAGATAACGACCATTTTTCACCTCTGAAAGCATGAATTCCTTGGCAAGATATCTGAGTTTTGAAATTACTATATAATCATTCAAATTTAGTTTAATTCATATTGAAACCGCATGTGCTTATGCGGGAACTTTGCTCTCATTAAAATACACGATAAAGCATACTGGTGCTTTTCCCTTTATTTTAGAGAAAGCAATTTATAGACTCCTTTTCCCCCTCCTCTCCTCTTTCTGGAGAATGGAAACCACTTAAGACTGTCTGTAGCCAAAACCGTTTAACCACATATTTCCTTCTTTTCAGATAAAGCCATGCTGGTTCCCTTTCAATTTCCGAACTTAACAGAATTATTAATAAATTACTGCTCTTGTCTATGAGCACATGATCTGTTATGGCATCTCAAAATCCAGCACAAAGTTGTCTTTTAAAAACTTTTAGAATTCTCTATTCTGAAAGTTGCCTTAAGACAGTCACACTAAGAGAGCAAAGGCAAAAGACACATTATTTCTATAAAGATCCCAACTTCCCCCCCCCGCCTTAATATTTCTGAGCTATACAATTTGTCTGAAGTAGATAAAAGGATGTCTTTGTTAGAATAACTCTTTCAAGGTTTTGTTGCTAACCCCAGATTAACTGCATTTCTATAATTTCATAAATCCTCCCCACACCTCTGGGTGCTTTTTATAACAGTATCTGGAAGTCAGTCTGGTAAAACTCAGACCCTTTGGTGAAAAGCACTAGAGAGGAGAAGGAAGGAGGAGGGGTTGGAAGTCAGGGAATTACCAATTTTGTGTTCAGTGGATGAATTTCATGCTACATATAAGCCACCGTTATAGGGATGTGCAAGAGGAAAAGAGGTGTTACACAGCTGCTTCCTTTCAGACTATAGTCCAATATATATTTGCTATAAAGCAAATGAGTTATGGCTCTTCTGACAGTGACAGCAGACGGCTGTGTCGCTAACTTAAGCATTATTATACATATGCTGAAAGAGGGGATTAAGTTCTCCCTCATTTTACACCCTGATTTTCCACATACTGGAAACTTAGGTAAATTGTCACATACTAAAATCCACAGTTTTTACTAGTTTATACCACCTGAATTTTTGTCTATTTATCCAAGAGTTCCATTTCACCTCAAACTCCACCTTCCATTTCAAACTCCTACTACAAATCAAAGTCCCATTAGAATTTTTTTAAACAAGAAAAGTAGAGATGTTAATTTTACATTGGAATGAGGCTTTTGGTGTTAGAACAAACGTTCTGCTTGCTGACTGAACAAACAGTAAGAGTAGACACTTATCTCCTGGCAGATTATCTGGATGGAGAACAAATAGCACCATAAACACACATAAACTTCAGAAGGTGCTGCATGAAGAAGTCAGGCTCTAAGTTGTTGAGCTGTGTTTGTGCTTTCTCAGCCTACCAGCTGGCTTGATCTCAAACGCCTCTGTGCCACACCTTCAACATACAGTGTATCTCACCTTCCTTTTTGTACTCCTTCAACTAATCTGTTATTTTTTTTTCATCTGCATTTAAATGAGCAACCCTCTCCTCCAACTCCTGAAGTCAGCTTTGTTGTTAAAAATAGGCAGGGATGTGGCTCCTTGTAACACCATTTGTTCATATTTTAAAAACCAAACTTCATTTGAATATAGCAAAGCAGACAGAGGACAATTCTCAATGACTTTAAAAAGAGCTGCTTTACTTGAGCACAAGACACAAAACCTCAGTTTCACATCCTATTTTAGTCCTCTAGTAAATCCTTATCTCACAACACCGGGGTTTTTAACTGATGTGCTGTAGATTTGCTATCTGTGTGCTCCATCCACACATCCTGCAGTTACAGAAAATGTTCCTTCTCCCTAAAGCAACCAAGCCATTTCCTCCCCCAGAGATTGCACACAGTTCTCACCACCCACTGACTAATGAATCAGCACAGCAGGCTCACAACAGCCAGGGATGGGACCAACTTCACCCTCCCAGGAAACACCAGTCCTCAGTGAAGTGGTGCAGTCCCCTCCCTTCTGTTTTCATTTTCCCAGCACACTGGAGGAAAACACGTTCTTTGAGAAGAGGCTCAGTTCTGACTCACCGTCTGCCTCATCACACACACATCTGCCCATTCATAACTGCTCACACAAGCTGCCTCTCTCTTAGTTGAGCCAAGTATGTATGCCCCAGTTTTGATCCCACCCTTCCCTGAATCATACCCCACTTTTAAATATTTAAACAGCAGTCTGCCTGCTGACTTCATATATGAAACACCGACCACTCAAAAAGAAACAGCTGTAAATACTTACTCCAAGAAAGAAAGATAAATCAGTTAAAGGCCAACCCTCATCATTTCAGCTTCTCTGAACACGGTCTGTATATGCTGCCAAGTAAAAGCAGGCTACCTATTCAAAATGTTCAATAGGAAATCATGTATTCA